GCATTTTTAATATTAGTTAAATTTATCACACAATCTGTATGTATTTAATTTTAAAATATTGTTCATAGTTTATTTTGCATAATATTACATAACTTAGCAATGCTCGTAAAGTCGCGGACGAGCGCTCTTTTGTAAATTTTTATTTAGTACACTAACAAATGTTACATGTAGGGGGCGTTGTAATTTATGTGCGCTGACCGCCAGCGCTATCGCCGAAAGGAAAACGCTTGTAAATATCAAATACAGCGTTCCGCTCGGAATGATTTTCCTTGCTTTGTAAAGATAAATGCAAATATGTATACAATTTCAATAAATATATTATAACGGTTACAATTTATAAAACAATTGCTGTCGGAATTAAAAATCTTCTGTTTTCTCAAAGCGAATGTGAGACATGACAATGTATATGTTAACACAAGAGGTATTTAAAAAGTAATTATGTGTTCGATAAAGTTAGCTTAATTAAAAAAAAGTAAAAAACCCGACTAGCTGATGTAGCGCCATCTTTTAGCTAAATTTGAAAACAAAGATTTGAAAAATTTTAATCTTACTTCTTACTTTCTACTTGTATTTTAAATGCGAATGTTTTAATGGATGGATGGATAGATGTTTGTTTATAGGTATCTCCGGAACGGCCGAACGGATTTTGATGATATTTGGCACTATTGTAGAATATAGTCAGGAAGAACACATCGGTTATTTTTAAAGTTTTTTTTTATACCGCGCGGACGGAATCGACAGGCGACAGCTAGTTTAAACTAAATAAACTGTTACTACTACTACTAATATACTTAAAAACCTTAACTATTGACTATGAGTATAGATTATTGGTGTCTTTTTTGTATATTCCATCAATATTTTAAAACAATATTCTCCCAACTAACGTTTTCAGTAATAAAGCTTTCGAATGCACTCTTCCCCGCTCTATGGAGTGGAAATGAAATTTTTGATAAATCGATACTAAATCATGTTAACTTCTAACAGCATTGTACTTTAAATGATTTGTTACTTTTCATGTTGAAATATAAACCTTATGTTCAAGTCAGAGAGTTGACATTTTTAAATAATATGTGCTATCTGTTAATTAATTGTCTTATAATTTCCTAAACGACAATATCTTAACACTTTAAATGCCACAAACATGACTGGTTCATTGTAATTACAACAGATCGTAGTAGCATAGAGGGTGTTACTACAGAAATAATATCATGGCGTATTCATAAAGCTCTATCTTACTAATATTATAAATGCGAATGTTTAGATGGATGTTTCTTTGAAGGTATCTCTAAAAAGAATGAGCGGATCTGGATGAAATTTGTCATACATACAGAACATAGTCGGGAAGATTACTTTGGCTACTGACTATGTTTTTTTTAATTCCGCACGGACGGAGTCGCGGGCGACAGCTAGTTTAGTAGGATTTTTTTTGTATTATATTATTAATCAAATTAATTAATCATAATTACCAAATTTGATTTACATTTTACTATTAAATAGTATTTAAAAGACACAGTACAATATGTATTCGTACAATTATAACAGCAATAGAATCCTACGGTTAAAAGTAAAAAATCTTTTGATACACATCACAATAAAACGTTAAGGAGAAAGTGAGCTCGTTAACGCTTTTAGGATTCCGTTCACGAGCTTTTCCACAACAAAAACAATCGGCATGTAACAAATCACAGCGCGGCCCACCCCTATTAACTACCCCGTACCCTCTACCCTTACGTTAAACTAACTACTACTAATTCCTGCAAAAGAAGAGAATAGAGTAAAAATAGAACAAACAGTTGATATTACTGCTTAACGTAAAACTTGTCAATATTACTGTAATAATAACAATATTACCATAGTAATATTAATGTCTGCAAAATAATTCAGCTTTAACCATGACAGTTTCCAAGTTTATTTTTATATGTAGGCTATAAATTTATTAAATACTATCGCCCGCGACTCCGTTGTCCGACTATGTTCTACATCTATACCAAATTTCAGCGAGATCTATACTGCCGTTCTGGAGATACCTTCAAACAAACATCCATCCATCTAAACATTCGCATTTTAATACTAAAAAGAAGATTTATAAGAGTATATTTAGATTAAGTAAGAAGTATAATTTATTTTGAAGTAATATTAAATTTCAAACACACAATATATAAATTCCTTCAGACCTTGGCCTTTTGTGTCTACAATATTAGCGTTATACATGTATTCTAAAGACCTAAACCCTCAAACTCTGTAGATAGTGTAACAAAGGAGGCTAGTATAAATAATATTTGAGCGTAAAGAACCAGTATCACCTCGACGCCGAATAATTTATAGCCACTTTATTTCGCGAGTTTTCAAAGAGGCGAGTACCAGCCGCTATTGTTTAATGTATTCCTTGCCTACATTAAAATATATTTCCTAGACTAGACTAAGTAAACAACATATTTTTCATACCTACAATATTTTAAATTATTCATCATCAGCTCACTATACGTCTCCACTGAGGGGCTCGGAGCCTACCCTAAGTTAGGGTAACTAGGCCATAGTCAACAACGCGAGCCCAGTGCGGGTTGACTGCACACATATCATTAAATTTAGTATCAGATTTTTGCAGGTTGCATCACGATGTTTTCCTTCACCGTAAGAACGTCGGATAAATGTACATTTGTTAATGGGAAATTGAAAAACACATTGGTACATGGCGGGATTCGAACCCAGGACCTATAGTTACAAGTCAAATGTTAAAACCCCTGAGCCACTGGCGCTCGCCGTTTTATATTATTAATTATAATTAAATTGATTGGTGTCTATTTCGCGAGTTGTGGTTCGGTTACCAAAGGGATTTTAGTCTTACAATCATTTGATTTCTCATTCCAGTAACTGGAAAGCCGGCATTAAGTTCATCAGTTGAAATAGCTTTCAATACCCTTTGGCATATTAATAATTTTATATTTTATCTCGTTTTAACTGAAATGAAGTGATCGAAAAGGAGGACGAAAACTGGTGCGTCTACCCTAGTTGAATAAATAAAATAAATTAACTTTATTATTTTTTCATACGGTCAGGAAATTAGTATCCCAAACTGGGGTGGGTACCCCTTGGATTTGAATGGGATAAGGTGATAATTGTATTTCGTTTTGTATTTTTTTAACGCAAAACAAAATAGTACGAAGGAATGAAAGGTTACTCAGACAGTTATTTAGCTAAGTACATAAAAATTAAAAATTATAGCTGTAAGCATAATAGACTTATCAATAAGGTTTCGAGTACAGTGGAAACGCTCAAGCACACACGTTATCTTGGCGAAGGCTTACAATTTACGAGCACTTAATGTCGCGGAGGTTCCCTGAGAGCCTTCCAAATATTGCAAGAGAACTGTTTATTATTGTCTCCGTTTTGTATATATATATATATATATATATGGAGTATGTATGTAAGATATTACTGTGTTACTGTTTAAATACATATTGAAGGTCACCTTAAGGTTTATATACAATTAGCGATCGCCTGCGACACCGTTCGCGCGGAATTAAAAAAAAACATTAGTAGCCTATGTGTTCTTCCAGGCAATGTTCTAAATGTATGCCAAATTTCTTCGAGAACCGTTCAGCCATTCTGCAGATACCTTCAAACATATATCCATCCATCTAAACATTCGCATTATTTCCTAAAAAATACTCACTGGCTAATTGATAGATAATATATGACTTAACTTAGTTTACTATCCACATTATGTATTCACGGCCTTATTATATATTGTTCGTATTATTTTGTAACTACGAATAAATGTTAACGAAGATAGCACAAGAGAAAACATTAAAATAAAACTAACTTTTATTACGGTTTGCCGTTGGGCCGCTGGGCCGATCGACTGCAGATCAATAGTAAGACCATTTAACACAAAAAATCCCAATGATCCGAATGATCGGTCCAACGGGAAACACCCATCATTACTACTTTAACTCCGATTATATATAAAATAAAGATTTACATTTTATTCGTGACAATTTGTACAAAATTAATCAAATAGAAGCACGTAACGTTTTCTTTGTAATATATAACAGAGAGTCAATAACGTAACTCATTCTCCGTACAACGAACTCCACTCAGGAGGCAATCTGACGAAATGAAACATCATTAATAGAACCTTAATATTATAACGAAATCGATACTTTTATAGTATCTACATTTAACAATAGCACTTTGTATGTTTCTAATTAGATACGATAGCTTTTAACTATCAAGCAACTCTTGATTGTTTTTCAAACATACCTTTTTTATAAGAGAAGGAGGCAAATGATCAAGGGGACACTGAGGGTTATCGACGCCCAGGGACATCAGCAATACCAAAGGAACCGTAGGTGCGTTCCCGGCATTTGAGATATTAGTTTATAAATGGCTTAATTCTTTCCTTTAAAGAAGTGGATTAGATTGAAGAGGGGACGTATAGAATGGGGAAAATATTATCTTTCTGTGCGTCCCGTCCTCGGTCGATTGGGCAGCGGTCGCTTTACAATTTCGGCGATACCAGGTGGCCGCTTGCTCTTTTGCCAACTTATAATATTAAAAAAAGTTCTTGTATACACTTTTTCTTGAATTAAGTTAAAAAATAATACCTTTTATTTAATACTTATAAATAACATAGCATTGATATTTTTATCAATATTCTAAATATAGCATCGGATGAAATTTTATAAAACTGGAAACGATTACATCTTTAGTTGTACAAAGTTTTACAAAACCAATGACTTCAACCATTTCCTTTCGTAACAAATGTACACAGAACCGCTTGAATGAACTTTTTTCCCTTACTAAGAGAATTGTCAAACAATCAGTACCTATATCAAGAGTTAATAAAATTACTAGTTTTAAACATTATTAGTTAGAATCCTTTGACTACATCTCTACCTTTGAGAACATAGTCTGTTGATAATATTTTTCCTCACGACCGACAGCCAGTTGTTCATAATTAAGATCCAATTGCGTCATAATAAAAATCAAACTTTTCAATGAATATAATTTATTACCGTAAATTTTACAATGTTATTACGCAGACACCGCGCACGTCTCCGGAGTGTTTGTTGAAAAATCAGTGAGAGCTCCAGTATTTACTTGACATAACAGTCTTCTACGTTCTACTGTATAGATAATAAAATAATTATTATAATTGTACATACACAAATTACTTCAGCAATTAATAAAAGATTAAAAGTCTTGCCCGCTAACCAGAAGGGTAGACAGAGATCACAGACTTTCGCCTCTTCTACATACACAAATACACATCTTACTAATATTAAAAAAGCAAATGTGGATGGATGGATGTTTGTTAGAAGGTATCTCCTAAACGACTGCATGGATCTCTCTGAAATTTGGCATAGATATAGAACAGAGTCTGAATGAACACATAGGCTACTAATGTTCGAGAAATATTGCGTGAAAACATAATAATTGAGTTAACTTACTTCTGCGTTGAATAAATACTTCAACTCTTTGCTGAAACATTGTTCCGATAAGGAGAAATAAAAGTAATGCAATGACGAACGGACCAAAATATCCCCATTCCAAAAAATTAAAGCTTTTCATATCTTTCCTGAAATACACAAGAACACAAAATTATCAACATTTAATTTCAACAACAAAGAAAACGCGCTTCAAATATATAAAAAAGAAATCCTATATCTTCTTATTACATTGATTTTCAACCGTTCACATACTCAATGGAATATTTTGTTAAAAAATATTTTTTTATATCATAAGGTGACAAATGAGCGGTCACCTGAAATCGCTGAAATAGCGAAGCGACCTATCTTTACTAGACGGAGAAGGGGATGCACAGAAAGAGAATATTTTCTCTTCCCATGCATCCTCAGTATTATAGCTTTACGCTGTTTGCTGTTATTAACAAAAAAAAAACTCACCAAGACTATGAGACCATGATTAAGGTATAAAGCAGGTTTTTTTAAATTTCTCTATATGATCATATTTGGAGATAAAAATGATATTTACATTACTGCAAATAAAGTCTAGGCAGCCAAGGTATTTACATTTTAATAATGACATTTGCATGCTCTATAAATGTATAGGAGATTGCTACGAAATGACAGCTTCTGTTTCGTTCCGATTTAAATGCGCCAGTTGATGTTACGTCACAATTAATTTTATCTATATTATTAGTTCGAATTCTCACCACCGCTACAAACCAGTACCATCAGCGCCAAAATGGCCGAAATCAAATAGTAACAATATACTACGACGGATAGCCAGTCCATTTATAGACGTCAGTGGTATGCAATAATATAATTGTCATTGTGAAATAAATATGAAGAAAAGAGGTTTTAACGTTATTTAAAATTTATTGATAAGCCAGAAATGTTATAAAAATGTTATATCCATATGTATGCCCCAATTTCTAACACACTGAAACGACGTGCGTTGCTCCAAAATTTCATTAAAAACTTGCTACATTGCTAGCAAAGTTTCATGAAAATCTATGCAGTTTATAAAAGCACAGACGAACATTCAAATATTGAGTTTACGATATAAAATAAACTATCTTGGTAATAAATATTTATCGCTTAAGTAGAAACTAACAAATTATGAATGACGCATAGTTTTCCATGGGCATTAATAGTGTAGAGTTGCTTTAATCATAGTGTGTTGTGTACGTAACATATTTTCAACAATTTATGATGGAAAACTTTTATAAACCCAGTGCAAACGCTACACCTAATCAAAAAACCTAAAAAAAAAAACTTTCGTCAGCACCACGTAATAAAACCGCGACAACTTTCCGCTAACTAAAATATACGTAAAAAAAAATTGAAAGCAAACGAGCTATAGCCGGTGCGAACCGGTGCCAGCTAGATTAAACCAACAGTTAGCTGTTGCTATATGGAGAGAATCGGACCGAAACTGGAAATTGAAAAAATCATGCACGCTGTTACGCGCATTGAAAAAAAAGAAAGCATTTCGAATATATTTCCCGTTTACACCTACGCTTGATTTGACGCGGAAACGAAATAGTTTGTTCAAATAGGCATACGTAGTTAATGGAAGAATAGAAAGAATAAAACTTCTAGAAATAATTTGGTTTGTTTTATTTGCTGTATAATATTTTTAGGCGCTTTAACACTTTTACTTTTTCAATGTTCAATTTCTATCGCTGTCATTTCATTCGTGTGGTATTGTGGTTCAAATTTATCTTGTTAAAGTCTTAATGGTTCCGTAGACAAATAAGGGTAGTTGGGCATCACATCTTCTGCCGCAATGACCACGATATTTCGTCGAAAGGAATTTAACGAGGCCGCATTTCATCGGATTGTGTTTGGAATCAAATTCATTGTACCATCAAATGAGGACCTTTTGTTCCACGCTTACATAAATCACGGCAGGAAAATTACGGACACCGTCATTTGGCAACCGTTGAACGATTCTCCCGACCAAATTGTCCACCGATCTTTGTGCTTACGTACATATTTCTACATTTATTATCATTACGACTTTCTTTTGATTTTAAAGCTGTAAAGCTTTAAACATACGTAAACCTTCTTAAAACAAAAAACTTAATATAATCTCGTGTTAGGAACATAGACAAAATTTTTGAAATGTTGTGTTGTAGTTATTTAATGTATGAAATGAATTCAATAGAATTAAAAAAATACACGTGAAATAGTCTCCCTTAATTACCTCTTAACGGCTTTCCGAGTGACTTCTGTTCTTCTACACGTATAAAAAATCACTATTAATAATGAGGTCCGTTACCGAATTCTGCGGAAGACACGCCGCGTTTTCCGGTCGTTCATTAATTTAATACCATAATTTGAGTTGTTATCACGCCCAGTGTTTAATCTTAAGCTTCCCAAGACAGTGTTTTTGTAGAGATATTATTCAAATAAATAAACATTATTGAAAAAACACTAGTTAATTAAAATACACGTGATTTTTTTCATTTTGAATTGATTGTAACAGACGCGAAACTCGAACAGCTACAAGAATATGGTAAAGTTCAAACTGTTGACATACTATATAGGTCTAGCGGTATCGCCGACTTGAAACCCTCTGCTCGAAGCAGCTTGAGTATAATGGCTATTAATTTAATTGTCCATGTATATGCATCACGATGTTTTCCTTCACCGTAAGAACATGGGATAAATGTATGTGTTAGGAAGAAAATCCGACACTGTGCCGGTGTACTGGCGCAACACTAGTCTTACTAATATGTCGACGTTTATGTCCCCTCGCTAATCATTCTGCCACTTAACTTTGTAACGAAAGCACGTCATTTGCGCCAAAGGATTCTAAGTTATACTGTATAAAAGTAAATAAAAAAACCATTAGTACATTACGTCATTTGAACCCAAGACCTGCCGATTCTTGAAATCTATCAATGCTTGACCCCTGAGCCATCGACGCTCCATATATTATTTATATACAGTGATATAGTAAAATAATGATATAGAGTTAGTCATACAAAAAATAACAAAGAGACTATCATATTGATAGCATGCAAAATGAAGCCGCCACTCTCATCCCTATGATAAATAACACGTTCAATACTCACGCGACACTGACAGATGACAACAATTCTTTCATCTCCCTTTTTAATATCACAAGTAACGGATGACGGTGGGACTCGGCCCTCAAATCTCTGAATCACACCGTCAAATTTCATCACCGCGCCGTAGCACTTGTAATAAATCGTATTATTTACTATATTTTAAAGAGAGTAAGGTGGATTATTACAAGTGTTTTGACGATTGAAATGTTAAGCATTCTCAAAGTAATGATTTTTTACTTATTCTGTAAATTTTTAATAAACTTATTTAGGTCATTGTTGTCATTTTAAATTTTTACACCAAATAAAAACAATCTTAAGACTTTAAATTAAATTTTTTGTCAATAATTCGATATTTTCTAAAAAATATCATATTAATAAATGCGAATGTTTGTATGTACGGATGGTTGTTTGTTAGAAGATATCTCCAAAACGGCTGCATAGTCTGGATGAATTGGCATAGATCTAGAACATAGTCTGGATTTTTTTTATAAGAGAAGGGGGCAAACGAGCGGCGGGAACACCGAGGTGATCAACGACACCCATGGGCATCTGCAACACCAGAGTAACCGCAGATGTGTTGCCGGCCTTTAAGGAAATGGTATGCTCGCTTCTTGAAACACAACACTATAACTAATTAAGTGTTTTAATACCACACGAACAGAATCACTGGCGACAATTTGAAATGTAAAATTATTTATATCGTTTACCGAACATAAGTACTTAGTACTTTTAACCACTAACATAATACTTATGTTACAATGTTGGTATTCCTTTGTACACACGAGGCTCACAATAGTCCAGTGTTTCAGGAAGTTTGGACTAATTTCCCGCAACTGAAACCAGATTTGGGAAACTCCGCTGTATTATCACACAACATTGTTGCTCGAAATTACCTTTGTTATATTATATCTAACAAATGAGACGTTATTAAAAGCAAATTCTACGATCTAAGTATAAATTATATTTTTCTACAAACTAGCTGTCGCCCGCGACTCTGTTTGTGCGGATATAAAAAAACTTAGTAGCCTATGTGTAAATAGAGACTATGTCAAATTTAAGCGAGATCCGTACAGCCTTTCTGGAGGTATCTTCAAACAAACATCAATCCATCCATACATCCATTCACGCATCCAAATATTTTCATTTAGATTAAGAAGATTAAGATTAGTAAGACGGAATATCCCTCGTCACCCTCAACTTAGGGAAGGCTCCGAGCCCCTCGGTGGGGACGTATAGTGAGCTAATGATGATGATGATGAAGACGGAATATTTTGTATAGAAAAATATTATCAAAGTCATATGTCTTTTTTAAACTGTAAACATTTTCAGTTTATAATCTCATTGGCGATATTATAAACGGACGCATAATTGTGACCTAATTCTTAACAAAGTTGCTACTTATATATTAGCTATGAATTTAAAAATGTATATTTATGTAATAGACAGATTTAACAACAATAATACTCTATTTACAATATATATTGCAATCATTTTCTTTTCGACTAGTACATACATTCGTAAACTAAATAAATGTCGGCCAAATGTTTCAGTATCTAAACTTTGCCAAACGGAAAACAAACTTAGGATAACAAAAAGTAATTTTATCTCGTTAATCGAATCTCCAGTAACTAGTCAAGTGTTAAACAAAAAAAACTTCATTAAACAATTTAATCTTATAAATAAATAAAACCCCAAAATACAAATTAAATCAGTTCAAAAAGACTAATTAGAATTTTTAAATGTGATTTCTAAGAAAAAAAATCTTATTTCACGTTAACGTACAATCTATAAATAATCGAATACAAGTCTAGACAGAATATAAAAACAGAAAACCTACACAAACTCGCACTGGTTATAGACAAAGGATCGCGTGGGATACCTCTAGACGTCTCTAAATGGCATATTATGTTAAAAATAAACATATATCTTTGGAACTTTGTTATTCTTCGGCATTCACTATCTCTCTCATTATCCTTGAAAAAAATAGAGACAATAATATGTAATTCGTTGCCTTATAGTGGTTTATATATATACTATTATATTATATAATAACTATAACCATCTGCTCAACCTATGTAAGTTAACAGTGAATTTTTAAGAAGACTTTCTCATATGAATACATAGTATCATTTTGAAGTGTGTATTAATTCTAATTGTATTTTATTATATAGAACTATACATATGTAGCTGTCGCCCGCGACGAAATTTAAGAAAAAGTTGATGAAACTATGTGTTCTTCCAGACTATGTTCTGCATTCCAAATTTCAGCGAGATCCGTTGAAGCGTTACGGAGATAACTTCAAACAAACATCTGTCTCTTTTCCATCTGATTTGCTAGACATATGATATCTAAAATAAGCAATTAGGACCATCGGCAGCGTGGCCGAGTGGTCTAAGGCGCTGGTTTTAGGCACCAGTCCGAAAGGGCGTGGGTTCGAATCCCACCGCTGTCAAAACTTTTTGAACGACAGTTT